AGTTTTATTGTCTAAAGAATGTTGTAAGGTTGCCGATTCATTATTCTTTTAGAGCATTAATTTTGTTAGCCTCTTCAACTACGGGATTGTAATCTACTTAGGATATTTATGAATACATTTGTTTAAGTTGATCGTACATGAATTAGTTTTTGCTTCATTGCCATTTGAGATGTTAATATTCATTTAGTGGATGGTTTATAGTTAGTAGAGGTTTCCTTGAAGGGTTTGGTTAATGTGAAGTCGGTATTAAATGGTTTATCTGTATAGGATGTGAGTTTCTCTTAAAACTTTAGTGTTGCTGTTTTAATTGTTTAAGCTCTCGTGAGTGTTGAAAATCAAAGTAGCGCAGGAGAAGCGTGGTAGCTTTATTGCTTAGTATTGTGGTGAAGATAATTCTCTTGTTTATGTGAAAATTTTAGGTAGTCTTAGTAATGGTCCTTGTTTGGAAATGGTGAAATTCCTGGGGCGTTACAGTATGAGTCATTTGAACCTTTTTAGAATTGATTTCAAAGGCTAAATAGTGTACGTAACTTGCTGTATTTTTCTGTTGTAGAGCTTAGGTGTGAGGTCGACGCAAAACATAAGGGCGCGGTTGTGTGTAAGTAGTTTCTTACTGGAGGGAATGGTTGTTGTGTGCTGATATGATATAGTTGTTTGCTCGTGTGCCCATGTGTGATATTTGCATCTTATGCATACAAAAGCTGGGGCTTATCCGCTTGATATCAGCAATAGTCCATCCAATTGCTCTCTAATCTGCCTTAAGTACATTCAACAGCATCTGTTCCTTTTCCAAAGGCAAGTCCGCTTCTGTGATAATTGGCAATGTCTCTGATGAACCCAGGTAAGCATATTTTAGATGTTGCGACAATGCTTTAAGCTCTAGCAATGACGGCTCTTCAATAGATGGCTTCTGTAATCTAAGCTTCGGGTTTGTGAGGTCTAAGGACTCATACATTCTTTTCACAAAGCCTGCATTGGCATTCATGCAGTCAGACTGGGTATCTTCTATTTCCTCTTTAGATGCGTCGGCAGTACTTTCAGCGTCAACTGCTTCTAGATGTTCCAGCATGGCTTCTGTTTCCAACTCTTCCATTATTGCTTCATCCAATATCTGAGCACTTTTCTGATTCAGTAGGAAATTTCATAGAGTCATGCAACGAGAATTTCACTTATTGATCCTGCACACGCATTGTCAACTCTCCTTTGTGGACAAATACCAAATTTATCTACTTGTACCAAAATGTCTTCAATTTTTCCTTTGGATGCGTAAAGGATCGATCCACCAACTATAAGGTCACTGTTGTGGGCCTTGCTTCCCCAATGCCCAACTTGTTGTAACTTGATAATGGCATAAGATTGATGCTGGCGCCTAGATAACATAAAGCAAGCCTTATTTTTTGTTCTCCAATTGAAACTGGTATGGTGAAACTTCCAGGATCTTTCATCTTTGCAGGAATTTACTCGTGAGTATGGTGCTGCAAGCCTTAATCATTGCTACCGTCTCATACTCTCCCAGCATTCTCTTCTTTGTGAGTATCTCTTTCAGGAACCTCGCATAATTAGGCATTTGCTCTAGAGCATCCACCAACGGTATGTTCACGTTCAGTTGCTTTAAGACATCTAAGAACTTCTTAAATTGAACATTCTGCTCTTTTTTCTGCAACCGTTTAAGATATGGTGGCGTTGGCCTGTACTCTGCTAGAGCATTTTCATGCTCTGCCTGCTTTCTTTTCTCGAGTATTCTGTTCTTTGAAGACCCTGTCTCAGGTGCTCTAGCAATTACTGGTTTAACGGATTGCTTAGATGTGTCTGACCCTGTCTCAGGTACGACTACTTCTGCTGGCTCACTGTCCTGTTCTGACTGAGGTTCTCCTTGGTCAACTTGAGCAGGTTCCTTGATCAATGCTGGAGCGTTCGGGTGTGCCAGAGGTAATGCTTTCCCACTTCGCAAAGTGAGGGCCTTGCATTATTCCTTACCGTCTCTTTTTGGCACTTCTGTGTCGCTAGGCAATGCTCCAACCGGTCTGCTCTTCAAATCCGTAGCTAACTGGCCTATTTGCAACTCTAGGTTCCTTAGTGATGCAGCCTGGTTTTGCACAGTGGCGTCATTATTGGCCATGTATTGCTTCATCAGCTTTTCCAATGATGCAAATGATCCTTCTGATTATTTATGTACTACAATCTGTCCTTGATTCACAAAACCAGGAGGATAACTTACCTTCTGCTGAAATGCTGGAGCATTGGATGTTCCCACATTGTGTCCTCCTTGATTACCACTCCAACTAAAATTGGGGTGATTCCTCCAGCCAGGATTGTACGTGTTCGAATACGGATTATGTCTATTATTCTGCGGGTTCCCCAAATAATAAACTGACTCCGGTTTCCAGGGCAGTTGTTGTAATGGTGATCTCCCCGCAAAAAGAACATGAAATCTCGTGAATTTGATTGACATTAGCCGTACCTGCTGATGCTCCAACTGAACTTTGCTACGCCATACTCCTCATTACCAAGTCTGTCAGATTCTCAATCTTTGAATTTAATGTGGTATATGATTCAGACTCAACTAGCCCCTTGCTTGATTTTCCTTGAACAGCTCTGGGATCAGACCATGAGTGATTATTTGATGATATTCTTTCCAAAATATTGAATGCTTCAGCATAGGGTTTTGCTAGCAAAGCCCCATTTGCATACGCATCAATCACTAAGCGTGTGGCATCATCCAGACCTTTGTAATATGTCTCTATCTGTATGCATCTTGGAATCCCATGGTGAGGACACCTCTACAATAATCACTTGAAATGCTCCCAGGATTCACTGACTGATTCCCCAGCAAATTGTTGAAAATTGTTGATCTCACTACGATACTTAGCGTTTTTGCTGGGTGGGAAATACTTCATCAAAAACTTCAGCCAAGTCATCCCAACTTGTAATAGATTCTGAAGGAAGGGCTCCAACCATGTTTTGGCTTCATCTCTAAGTGAATACGGAAATAGCTTAAGCCTCAGCACTTCTTTGCTCAATCCTTCATCCTTGAATGAATTGCAAACTCTTATAAAGAATTTCAGATGCTGATGTGGGTCCTCTATAGCATGTCCATGAAATTGACCCATTGTCTGGAGCATCTAAAACATCACTGGTTTCAGCTCAAATTTAGAAGCTTCAATTTCTGGCACCGTGATAACTGGGTTGAAGTTGTAGAATGTCGGAGCCGCATATACTTTAATTTCCCTGTCGATATCATCTGCTAAGAGTACAGCGTTGCGAGAGGGCACTGCTACATATAGGATGAGCAACGACAGGAACCCCATCTACTATTTCCCATATCCTCACATTCGGTCTTATAGTCGCATTAGGCTGAATGGTTGGTTCAGTCTGTCCATGTTGGCTGCCCTTTGTTGTCGYCTGTACTCTCGTATATTTCTACGGAAGGTACGTTCTATTTCGTGATCAATAATATATTCTAATCCTTCGTAGTCGTTCATGCACCTCGCAAAACCAACAGCAAAATACAAATGTGAAAACAAGAAAAAAATCACTTCAGCACCGTATCTACAAATATCAGCGTTAAAATAAAATCGCAAAAATCCCCGGCAATGGTGCAAAAAACTTGTTGCATCCACACAACTGTGTCGACAACAAGTGCAAGTATACACGATTCGTCGGTTGTAGTACGTAACGAGGTCGTATCCACAGGGATTTTTGGTTGATATTTTAACGATACAATCAGATACCAAGGAATAAAATTGTGCAGAGTTTGGGTATGTATATTATCTAGGAGAATTAAAATAAAGTAATAACAGGATGACAAAACTTTGCAAGAGACAAAAGTTTCAAAGCTATCAACACAAGAAAGTAGCAGCACAGAAAGCGATAACGGGGGATTAACAGATATGGAAAAAGTGAGGGAGATTCAGCATGCTTTCACAAGTTATCAACCTACCCTCTAGCGTAGCTAACATTTATTAGTGCCCAGTTCAACTCGTTTCTGCTAGTTACCCAAGCAATAAACTCAAACTATAAGCATGATTAGGGAACCCCATTCCTAAGTATCCCTATAGCTATAGAAAAGCGCTAACCACAAGCAAAACAAATCAGCACCTACAAGCCCTTCCGGATCAATATACAAGCTAGCATACACGAAACAGCGGCCAACAATAACACGAAGATTGAAGAAATGAATACATATTTACTTAAAAATAAATATAGCAGCTAGAGGTTTGGTCTCAAGTCAGTTACAGCATGTGAACCTCCCCTAAAGTGGGATTTAGCTCATAATGGATGAAGATAACAAAATGGAAGAAGAAGAAATACAACCCATAGTAGAAAAAAGGCTAAATAACAGAGAAGAAGAAGCAGTTAGCTCGTTCCAGTAGGCGAACTTCCCCTTTCTGGCGTCAGCTCTCCTCCCGAAAATGGGTATATTCCGTTCCTTGGACTTTTCATCTCTCAATTATTGTCTTCCTTGGGATCTGCGTGTCTGTCGACTAGGGCAACATTACCTTTAAATATCGGGTCCTGTTTTTTGGGCACCCGATTGAGGATTGTATGGACATAAGTGAATCTCATGTTTTTGAATTAACTGTACGAATACTCATGCTCTGGCATCGCTATGCTCCAGCTTTTATATGCTCTGACTWGAAAATGCTTTGACTTTTCCTCTCTGGTTCAGCACTTCCTTCTCTTCTTAGCTCTTCTTTAAAAACCTGTGCAAATGAACCACAAATACGAGAGTTTATGCTGTTTTTGGCCAAAGTTCTCAAGACTAAGGATATTTAGCTAAGAATTTGCAATTAAACACTATTCATGCTAGTTATGATCTAAAACCGACACACTTTGACATTTTAATGCACATTTTCACCCAAATGATCACCAGAATAACTCTCTTTTGGAGAGTTATCAGTTAACTAGCTCTAGTATCACCATGGTAGGTCTTGCTTCACCAATACCCAACCTTTGATATACTGATAATGGCACAAGGTTTATGCTTACACCCAAATCGCATATAGCATGGCTCACATTCTTTCCACCAATAGAGATTGGAATAGTGAAACTCCCTGGATCCCAGATTTTCTGTGGCAGCTTGTCTGTTAAAATTGCACTGCACTCCTTCGTTGAAGTTATCATTTGAAACTCTCCAAACCTCCTTTTCTTAGTCAAGAAATCTTTCAAAATTTTTGCATAGTTAGACATCTGCTCAATAGCCTTAACTAAGGGTATATTGATGTGGAGTTGCTTCAACAAGTCCAAAAAATACTTGAGTTGATCATCTTGGTTTTTTATTTGAAGCTTTTGAAGATAAGCAGGAGGTGGACTATATTTCTCTGGTGTTTGCACACTTTTCTGGACTGGTGCTCCTCTTGGTTCTGCTTCCTCTACTGATTTTGCTTCTGCTGCTCTTTTTCCTCTGCTAATTTCAGGTTCATGCTGAGTTTCGGTCCCTGTGKGAATTTCTGATTCTGAAATCTACTCATGCGATGCTCCAGCATCGTTCACTCTGTTATCATCAACAGCACATTTTCTGCAGTTTCCTTTACATGACAGTCTGCTCGCAGTTGAGGCCACACCTTATAGTTATAGCTTTACACTGTTCCTTCCCCTCTCTCTTGGGATATTCGGTGTCACTAGGCAAAGTACCAAGGGGCCTATTTTTCAACTTATTTGCCATTTGTCCCAATTGTATTTCCAAATTTCTTAAAGAAGTTGTTTGGCTTTGGAGTGTTGCATTATTCTTTGCCATGTATTCTATCATTAGATTCTCCACAGAATTGGAGGAACTTGTTGTTGGCTTCACTTCCTACTTTTGATTAGACATTATGAGACTAGGGTGGTGAATCTCCTTTTGTTGAAATTGAGAGGCATACTACTGTCCTTAGTTCCCTCCCCAATAAGAACAGGAGATGGCTAGTACATTGTTGATTCCATGGCTAGTTGACGAGGCTATAGCATTGTTCATGTTCTTGACCATATTAGTCAGGATGGTAATTTGTGCCTTCAGTGAAGCCATTAAATCATCATTATCAGCTCCTTGACCAGTTCCGTCACTTCAGGCTCTGGGATATGACCAGTGGTAAGGGATTCTCAGTAGTTGATCCACGGGGCCAACCTCTACTTGTTGTCTACGTTGTGCTCTCTTCCTTCGATGAAAAGTACGTTATATTTCGTTGTCGATCAGATATTCCAACCCTTGTAGATCATGCATTAACCTTCAAGATCCACAAACAGTAGTTAAAAGAAATCTTTCCAGAACATATTTTCTTAAGCAAAAATATAAAGTGTAAAGTTGAATCAATCCCTGACAATGGCGCCAAAAACTTGTTGGTTACGGTTTATGACTCTTTGTGTAAGTGTACACAACCGTTGTAGCAAGTGATAAAAAGATCGTCTCCACAGGGATTGATAACTAAACACTTCAACAATTACTTAAGAAAATAAAGAAATTAACAAAATATGTTTTGAAAAAGAAAAACTAAAGAAACTCAAACAAAATAGTGCATATATGATTTACTAAGTAAAAACAAGTCAGAACAAAGCAAAACCATATCGATTAAAGAAAAATATGCAAACAAGAGGTTAATTACTGATATTTAAAGGGGAAGAGTTTCTGTGACTTTTTCTGGGCTACTCTATCGATGTTGTAGCATTAACGATGTTGATATACTGGCCAAACAGACACGAAATCTTCCCAGATTTCCAGATTTTCTGCTATTCATGTTTTTAGACAAACTTGACAGCATATATACTCAGTTTATAACCTTGCTAGGTGAGCCTTATTCCTAAGTACCCACTGATTACGCTTGTTTACATGCGTAAAAAGAAGGTTTTAGATGCTGTTTTTACAATGTTTCAGCTTTGTTTCAGATTTTTCTCGATCGTTTGAGTTCCAATTCATGCAAAATTCATATATTATGGTTTGTGGTTGGCTTATATTGTATTTATGACATTTTAGGACCATTTGGGAGTGCAA